CTGTGGCTGGCGGAGTTCTAGGAGTGATTGAAAGGCTGCCATTATCTCCTTACTGCCCCCATCCCACCCCATCATCACTTATGAGGCATTCACTGTGGTTGGACTTGACAATGGGGACAATGTGGGTGTTCTTGGTGCCTGCCCAGATGCCCTTTCTGGGCTGGTGCATTCTTTATTTAGCTCCTGTGAGTTTTGAATATTGGCTGCTAAGGACTCAGAGCTGCCTCTTTTCCCAGAGGCTTGTCCTCAGCCAAATGGGAGCTCTTTTCCACAAAGATATGAACTCCCCACCCTCACCCCTATAGCCAATGGCTGAATGACCAAGGGGCACAAGAAGCCTGCCCTCTTGCTTCAAGGTGAGACCAGTTCTATGGCGTAATTCATGCTTGAGAGCCCCCGTGGGATCAGGCTGAGGCTGGACTTCAGCTGAGCTGGTTCTTGCTTGGCTCCTCCCTTTGACCTCTCTTGCCTCCCTCCCTCCCTTTTTTTCTCAATAAATCCTGTGCACTCACATCCCTGTCTCAGGCTCTGCTTCTAGGGAGCCCTGCCTAGAAGAGGGGAGGATTGAAGATGCTGTGGAGGCATGCTCTCTGCCCTCAGGGATCTTGCAGTAGAGATAGGCCACAAACACGCACAATGATCCTCCACAACACAGGGTGGACCAGGCTGGAGAAGTCACTGGAGGTGCAGTGGGGAGGAAGGCTTTATGGAAGAAACAGGCTAGGCCATGAAGAATAGGTAGGACTTGAAATGTTGGGAAAGGGGAAAAGCTTCCTAGGCAGGAAGAAAGTTCCAAGGAAAGGCCCTAAGATGGGTAAGAACCTCTGCCCTCACCGGCTCCTGTCTGGTATCTGTGACTAGGGGAACCACCCAGGTCAGCGGGAGTTGGGGAACTCTGTTTTGACAATCCCAATAATGGATCTAACGTTGGCAGGGCTGCTTGAGAGAGCCATGCCAGGCCACCCTGAGTCCAGGGAGGACTCACTCAGTCCTCACGAGAGGCTGGGGAGCACGGTCCACCTGTAACAAGCTCCTCACTTCAGAGAAGGAACAGAAACCCCACCAGCCCTGCACGGAGGGCTGGCAACTCAGGGGGCCTGAGGGCCACTTCTGCAAAGAGCAGTGGGCACCGAGGGGCTCCACACACCTGCTGGACCGTGAGCCTGGGGTTTGTTCACAGGAGTTCAATGACGTAGTAGGCAGTTGCTAGGGCACCCAGAGCCACAGCCGCAGTCCCGAGAGCCTGGAGCACGGGAATTACGATGACTGGTGTGCTTCCTTGCAGGTCCTCTGCAAAGCAAAGTAGAAAGCCCATGGGTTGGGGGAGGTTGGGCTTTAGTGCCTTTTTATGGGAAAGGGAAGATTGGGGGGTTCCCTCAGGATTGTGGGAACACCCACTTCTCCCTACCGACCCTCCTCTCAAGGGGACACAACTCTCCCACTCCTTCTAATGAAACCTACCTCAGGACCCCAGGACCTGAGGATGGGCTGGCCCAGGACACCAGCTCCCTGGGACATTCAGGGAGCCAAGCAACAAAGGTGGTCAAGGCCCCCATGTGCCAGGCCCTGTGCTAAACATCTCACACCCCAGGTCTCCTTGGACATCAAGACAACCCTGTGAAGGAGGTTCTACCAGGTAGCTCCATTTTGGGGACACATATGACACCTGAGGAAACACATAGTACACCCACCACGAAGGCAAGGAAAATACATGAGTATGATACTAATTGTGAGGAAGGCTTTCACCGATGTAATATCCATTTGGGTAGAAATCCTATTCAAGAAGCGGTTCTTTAACGTGAGTGTGTATTTCAAGCCAAGAACCAACATTCCACTCTGAGAAATGGAACGATTACGGAAGCGGTGCTAAACATTTGAACAGAATATGTCTTAACCCTGACCAAACTGGACCCCTGCCCCTTCCCCCTCACGTTCCTAATTCTGAGTCTTGCTTTTGCCTTTTCCTCCATCTCGAGTGCTCTCCCTCTAAAATAAGCCATAGAAGATCCCAAGGTCCTTTTAGACTCCGCTCAGATGTGATTGACACTACGCAGTCTGCCTGGACCTCAGTTCAGGAGTGAACGCTCTCTTTTCCTGAAGCTCTTCGAATGTCTCCTAAGGGACACAGATCACCTGGCTCACACCTCAGTTTCTCAATGGACATGTCTTACCTTACCATGCAGGCTGTACAATTTTTAAGGGTAAAGTTCCCTGTTCTGGTTTCCCTCCTAGTACCTGGCATCCTGTACAGATTAGCTTTTCCTACTTATTGGCTTTAAAGTGATATGAGGCCCTAACCAGTTTGGCTCAGTGGATAGAGCATCGGCCTGCGGACTCAAGGGTCCCAGGTTCGATTCCGGTCAAGGGCATGTACCTTGGTTGCGGGCATATCCCCAGTAGGAGGTGTGCAGGAGGCAGCTGATCGATGATTCTCTCTCATTGATGTTTCTAACTCTCTATCCCTCTCCGTTCCTCTCTAAAAAAACAATAAAATATATTTAAAAAAATAAAGTGATATGAGAAGGTGGGGGAGGATGGATGGATGGGAAGTAATCAACCAAAGACCTTATATGCATATATGCATATATAACTCATGGACACAGGCAATAGGGTGCTGAAGGCCTGCAGGAGGGGAGTGGGGACAGGGCCGGCCGGAGGGGGCCAATGGGGGGGGGCGGTGGAGGGGACACATGTAATACTTTCAACAAAAAGGAGTTATTTTAAAAAATTAAAGTGATATGAATCCATGGCACAACGTGGCACCAGATGGACAGAAGTACTGAGTGTGTTGGAAGACAGTTAATAATAATGAGTGGGGGACAGGCCCTTCCTTGACAGAGACTCACCAGTTTATAGAATATTTTAGCTCTAGGCATGCTCTTCCAACACACCTGGGTATCTGTTTGTTTCTCTTTATAGGTTTGTTCCAAGGATGATAGGAGGATCTGGGAAGAGGAGCAGGGGGAAAGTGGGGGATGGGTGGGCTCTGTTCCTGGGTCAGGAGTATCAGATTGTCAAGTGGAAGACTTCCCTGTGGACACCTGTGAGACCCTGGATACAGGCGGAGCTGCTTTGGGCCCAGAGCTGGGGATGGGCAGAAGCCCCTTTCCCAGCCCTGGCACCCCTGGAAAAGGTTCCACCTGGTGGATTCTAGGAAGAGGCAAAGAAGGGCAGAGCTTCAGATGATGCTGTGGGTGGGGGGCTGCTCTGCCATGGACAGACCAACCTTGGGGCACTGTTCCCTGTCGGGATTGCTAGAAACAGCCCGAGACCCTCTGCATGGGGTGGAAGACTTGCTATTACCAAGAGGGCATATGAGTTCCACTCAGTATTTGTGACTAAATTCCAGGGGAAATTCACATGCAGGTAAAGAACCTAAAGCTCTCAGCTGTGGTGTGGGCCAAACAGAGCATTTAATTTCAAAGCTCTGACAAGGCATTTCTGAAGGGCTGGGGGGGAGGGGGCGGTGAGCTCTGAGGAAGGTGGGTGCCTTTCGGGAAAAGAGAAACGAAGCCCTCGAAGAAGCAATTCCTGGGAAGGAAGAAAATCGGCACCTCTCTGTGCAGGTGGGACACCCTGGAAGGATGGGTCTGGTCAGAAAGGGCCAGTGCCAACCTTAGGCTGTGGCCACCTGGAGGGAGAGGCTTTCCTTTGGGCCTAGGATTCCCAGGCAGAATAACACAAGACTGCAAAAACGATCTGGGGGAGAGCCTGCCCTTGGGGACTGTATGTCCTGAGGGCCCAGCCCTCCATGAGCTCCAGAACCTGTAGAAGGTGAGGAGGTTTGGGAATCCTCTCCCTGACACGGTCAGCCAGGCCCGAGGCAGAAGGACATCGGAGATGCGGCTGTGGCACAGGCCCAGACGACGCCAGCAAGCAGAGCTGCCGGGGCAAGTGGTACAGGAACAGAAGGGGCGAGTCGGAGGCCCTGGGTGGACAGAAAAAGAGAAAGATGAGGGACCTACCAGCCTGCAGGAGGCAGAGGAGAGCCTGGAAGACACAGAAACAAACCGTGGGAAATTAGTTGTATTTCAGACCGTGGCTACCTGGGAATAAAAATAATGATGCAATGGCTTCACATCATTATCCATCGTATTTAATTATCAGGACAATCCTGTGAAATGGAATGTTGTTATTCTCAGTTTACACATGAGGAAACTGAGGCTCAAACTGAGAGTAAATCGATTGAAGAAGTGGGCCTCAATTCAGGATTTCTTGATTCAGGGCTCTCTCCACAGAATTCATAGGAAGTGGTGGCAGTAGATGACTGCCCTGCCGTGAGGTGGCACTCGAATCCTGCACCTGGAGCTGCCACGTCCCATTTCTGCGGGGCTCACTGGTTCATCCAGAAGGCAACCGTCACTCCAGTTTACAGTCCTTGGAATACTTTGCCAGACTCATCTCCATTTCTGTCCTCCTGTGCAGTGGATCCTGGCGGAACTCAGAGGTGGCGCCCTCTGCTGTTTAAAATGACCTCTGCCTCATTTCCTCCCCTTGCAGCTACCTCTGTCCTGGCTTCCTGATGAACTGTGGATTCTTCCAACCAAAGCTCCGTGAAGGCAGTGGTCAATCTTGGCAAACTCAGCACACTTCCTGCTTAGACCTGCCCATGATGGATGCTTTTTTTGGGCTGGAAAAGGAAGAGATTCTAAAGGCAAGGCTTTATCTTTTTTCTGTTTTTAGTTTAAAATTTTTTTTGAAATGGACATATAATTCCCATACCATAAAGTTCACCCCTTTAACGTGTTCAGTGGTTTTTAGTATATAAACAAAGGTGTGCAACCATCATTGCTATCTAATTCCAGAATATTTTCTTTTCCACTTAAGAAACTCCAGACCCGCCCTAACCGGTTTGGCTCAGTGGATAGAGCATCGGCCTGCGGACTGAAGGGTCCCAGGTTCGATTCCGGTCAAGGGCATGTACCATGGTTGTGGGCACGTCCCCAGTGGGGGGCCTGCAGGAGGCAGCAGATCGATGTTTCTCTCTCATCGATGTTTCTAACTCTCTATCCCTCTCCCTTCCTCTCTGTAAAAAATCAATAAAATATATTTTTTTAAAAAAAGAAAGCAACTCCAGACCCATTAGCAGTCACTGCCTATTCTCCACTCTTCCCTGGTTCTGGCAATAGATTCGCCTATTCTGGACACTTCAGAAATGGAAGCATACAACATGTGGGCTTTTTTAATGGATTGGCTTCTTTTACTTAGCCTAATGTTTTTGAAGCCCATCCATGTTGTAGCATGTATCAGCCCATCATCTCTTTTTATTGCCAAATAGTATTTCATAGCACTTCTGTACCACCTGCTGTTTATCCATTCATTAGCTGATGGACGTTGAGTTGTCTCTTTTTGGCTATTGCGAGTAATGCTGCTATGGACATTTGTGTATAAGGACATGTGCTGTTGTTGTTTTTTACATCATAAACCAGGAGTTTAATTTTTTTGTGTGGAAAATTCTTTCTAAGAATCTGTTCCAACCAACAAAATAATATTGAAAAATTGGGTAGGAGCTGAAGGCTTAATTTTCCATAAACTTTGAAGTGGTAGAACATGTTTTTAATTCCCTTGGGTATATACCCAGGAGTTGGATTGCTGTGTCTTATGGTAACTTCATGGCTAACGCTTCGAGGAACTGCCAGACTTTTCCGCCGCAGCAGCACCATATTACATTCCCTCCAGCAGTGCCTGATGCTTCTGACTTCTCCACAGCTGCACCAACACTTGTCATTGTCCGTTTTTTTAAATTATAGTCATTCTAGTGGAAGATTTGTCTTTTATTGAGCTACAATATTCTCTGCATATAAAAAGTTTGGATGTTAGACTATGGCATCCTTTATTTAAAGGCCCTCATCCGTTATTGCCAACATTCCTTTCTACTCTGGCTCAAAGGGAGAAAATTCCTTTGATAGAAGAAGAGAAGGTGGCCATTGTAAGCACTGAAGAGCCACTACCAGTGCCTGGATAAATTGGCCAGCTGTAGCACATGAAATTGTGGATAGATGAGAGTCTCATATTTGTATTTATCTAAATGCAATAAACAGCACCAGGTTTCCAATTTAACGAAATGCAGTTTTTTTACAATTCTTTGGAGCAATAAGCCACATCAATAAGCAGAACTCCCCATGAGGGTGAGTCACATGCATTAAAAGATTTGGGTACGTAAAGCTTTGCGTTCTACAGATATCCGTTCTAAAGGCCACAATCCAGAAATGTTTAGTTCAGCAGTTGATGATCATAACATAACAATATGTAGTGTAGCTCTCAAAGCCATTTCAGATGTTAAGAACGGATTGATTACTAGCCTCAGGAATATGTCACAGAGATACCTTGGGTATATATATATATATACATATCTCTTATTTATGTCCACATTATCTCAGAGGGATATGCTGTGGCCTGGGAGTGTGGCCTGGTCAGGACCCCAGAGCCATGGGCTCTGGCTCACGGATCCAGGAGCTCAGAGAAGGGCGTGCTTCCTCCAAGGGAAACCACCAGACCTCGGGGGATCAGAAAATTAGGGCTGCAGTTAACAGCGAGAATTCTGGAGTCGAAATAGACTGAAGTTCCCCGCTCAGGGCTTCTAGTGCCTGCTTGAGAGTGAGCTGCTTGATTTCTTTGGGCCTCAGTTTCCTCATGTATAACATGGAGATGATACTAGTATGTTCTTTATAGAGTTGTTAAATGAGAAAATTAACACAGATGGCTGAGCTGAATGCTGGGTACACAGTTGGTTAGCTATTACCATTATCATTAGCAGTAGTTTTAACCAGCCCACCTCCTGAATGCCACTTGAATTTCCTCTACAATCCAATGTTCACTCAGACCCTGGCTAACAAGAGGGGGGGCACTTTTCCCAGACGGCCATTCCTTTGTCAGAGAGAGCTAATTGTTGGAGTTTTTAATGTTGAGGAGAGAAATCCGCCTCTGTCTTCCCTCGGTAAGGTTGCCAGATTTAGCAAGTAAAAACGCACGATGCCCATGCAATATTTGGGACACACTTATACTAAAAAAAATTAAAATCATTTGTTGGCCTGCATTTTACTGGGAACTCTATCCATGGGTCCTTAGTCAAACAACTGAGGACAACACAGAAAAAGTCTATTCACATCTTCCGCCTGACAAATTTCCTCCAAACCCTTCCACCACATCTCAAACACCAAGTGGCGCTCTCCTCCCCCTACTTCTCTCATCCACTATCAGCCTGGACTTTCCTCTTTGGATTAGATGGTAGGTATCTGTTACAGCAAATGGAGATTGTCTGACGAGGACAGAGTGAAGCAATATGACCACTCCCTAGTCCTAAACTGCATAATATCAATGCATCCTTGGTTTTTATTTTTGAGCAGCTACTTGGCACCCTAATTCCCAATGAGCACATATGACCACTGAGTCATGTGAAAGGTTAATATGGATGCGGGCTGCCCTCTGCAGTGAGACTCAACATGGTGAGAAATGGCAACACCCAAGAACCCTGATCTCTTGGGTAAAAACAAAACCCCAAATCCTCACACGCCACAAGCACAGTTCCAGAATACACATTAACCACACATCACTACCCCAGTAAGAACCAGCTTCTGGGGTGACCCGGGATTCAGCAGCAGAAAGGCTAGACCTGTTGAGCTAGAAATCTGCTCACCTGCTTTCTTGGATCCATGGGATGTTTTTGTGCCAGTGTTCGGAGTCAGCAGGCCCTGAGCTGACTGGCTGGTTTGGGGAGCTGGGAGGGCCCAGATCACAGGCCTCTGTGCAACGGAGCCCGCGCTGGGCTGCTGTGGGGTGGACCCCGAGATGGGCTGCTGGGGGGTGGACTCTGGGCAGGGCTGCTGGGGGGTGGGCTCAGAGCTCTGTTGCTGCTGCTGGGGGGTGCACCCCGAGATGGACTGCTGGGGGGTAAACTCAGAGCTCCTATGCTGCTGAGGGGTGCACGACAAACTGTTCTGTGGTGGGGTGGACTCCACGCTGGACTGACGTGGGGTAGACCGCACGCTGGGCTGCCGTGAGGTGGAATCAGAGCTACAGCGCCGTGAGTTGGAGCCACGGCGTTTGGACTCTGGCTTCTTCTTTTTGCCCTTCTTCATGGTGGGTCTTCCTCACTTAAATGTGGCCCTACATGGAGCTTCCTAATCTCCCGGCTCCCTCCTGGAGGGGCCGTTTGCCCCTGCCCTGGGGGAACACTCTGGCCTTGGGCTGGACCCACACCCCTCCTGTGAGGTCACAAACACCAGGATGGCTCCATGGCAGTGCTCTGGGGACAGTCTTCTCTGCCTAGCCTGCTGTTCTCCCTCTCCCCTAGCCACTGGGATGGGCAGAGGGCAGGTGTCAGACCCTTCAAGAACCTGAGTTAAGCCTGGCCATGGGGCCTGCGACAACCTGGATCCCTAGGATTCTGCGACTGGAGTGCCTCCTTCAGGCACCTCTCTGCTGGTGTGTCCCGGATCCCCTTAGAGCTATCCATTCACTCTAAGACCCCCTGGCTGTGATGCTCAACTCTGCCACTGGTTTCCACATAACAAGAGCTGAAAACCAAAACCCAAACCCCCAAAACGACTTCACCATGCATACTGTGTTTTAGGTAACGTTACCGAAGATTGGGGGTCCATGGAAAGCCCACAGCCTCCTACCACCTCAGCTGTTCCCCCAGATTATTTTCATAGAGTAGCTTCTCCCTTCTTCCAAAACCTGCCCTCCCAGACTGTGTGAAGGGTCTTGGGGGAAAGGGGTGTTATCCAACTTTGGCAAGAACCCTTGCATATGGCAAAAGAATTTCCCCTACAAACGTAATGGCAGTTTGGAAAACCACATTTTCCTCACACTCATCACGCCAGCCACAATAGGCGATCTTTCAAACCCCAAACTCGGCGGGTCAATTAGGAGACTATGAATCCTTCTCAAAGTTAACAATGTGATTTTCCTTTTAGGATGGGAGAGAAAAAAAACATTAAAAAAAGGACAACCTTAGGCTTCACATGTTGACTCCAACAGAAAATGTGTTTGCATTAGAAGACACTACTTCTGCCATTGATGCATCATGAGGTGGTGAGTAGTCTACTGTCAACCCCTTGAGTCTGGGGTGATACTCTTGCCCCAGGAGAAGGTTTAGGTTAGACCTATGGAGGAGGAATCCCCACGCAAGGCCAGATCCGACATGAACTGTGAAATGACAGGAAATATTTTAGAGATTCTAGAACCTGAAAAGACCTTGCTGATTCTCTTTCTGCAGAGTGGAAACTGAGGTTCAAGGTTAAACTGCCATTCCAAAGTCACGCAGTGGAGGGGTATCGAAGGGGCTAAATTGCCGTTCAGAGATCTCTCTTTTCCTGACTCCAGAAGGCAACAGGAGTCAGGTAATTATACAGGCCTTAAAGTCAATCCCTTGAGTGAGAGGATTGAAGGGAAAAAAAAGGCATGAAGGATGAGAAGTGAAGGGAAGCGCAGATCAAGAAAGTTGGGTTGAATTTGATTGAGCCTGGGCGTGAGGAGATTCAGGGAGCCAGCGAGGCTACAAGAAAGAAGGCGGTAAGTCCCTAAAGTCAAGAGCAATGGCTCCCTCGGGGGATTCACTTCAGAATCAGAGAGACTGGAACCGGGCCAGGGATCAGGGTCAGGACTCCTGTCTGGGTCCGGCAGACAGCTCACACCCGCTAAGGCATTTATCTCTGTAAAACTCAATTTTCAGGCACTGATGGGCTTTTGACTGAGGGCCTCAACTTGATGTGTGTGTGTGTTTTTTTTTTTTAAATATGAGGAAGGGAGAGGGAGAGAGAAACATTACTCAGTTGCCTTCTACATGCCTCCTACTTGGGATTGAGTCCGCAACCTGGCATGTGCCTTGAGCTACACAGGCCAGGGCTCAACCTGGTTTAAATCAGCCCTATTGGCATTTGGGCCAGAAAAGTCTTTGTGTGGGGCTGTCCTGTGCATTGCAAACGGTTTAGCAGTGTCCCTGGTCTCTGCCCATGAGATGCTGGTAGCAACTATTGCTCCTTCCAAGTGAAACCAAAATATCTACGCTGGTAGCAACTACTGCTCCTTCCAAGTGAAACCAAAATATCTACACACATTGGTAAATGTCAGTGTGTGTGTGAGAGAGAGAGAGAGAGAGAAAATTGCCCTTGGGTGAGAACCACTTGTTTAAATGCATTAAATAGGTGCAAAAATGTCTTGGTAGGAATGAAAGAAGCATTTCATTTCACACCAAGGAACCAAAAAAGACATGAAAACAGATCCTTGGTTCCCAAGGAGAGGAATGGAAGAAACACAGAGGGTCAGGCTTTGGGAGGAGTGGGAGTTTTTCCATGGCAGTGGAGGAAATATGTGGGGGTTCTTTAATAAGGGTGGCCCCAAGTTGCAGGGGAGGGCACTTGTGGAGTAATAGATTGGGTTAGAAGGCTTGCTCTAGCCAGCCACAAGCACCAGAAGTCTGGTGAACGTGCCGCACTTCCCTGTATTTGTGGAAGCCCTTCCCACTCCGTCCCATCCTTCTCTCTTCCCATCATTCAGGTCCATCTGAAGTGGACCCATCCACTCATAAAGCCTTTCTCAAGATCTCCAACTGGAAGCCATGTCCCCCTCTCAGAGCCCAGATCTTGGGTCACTTTCTGCCGGGTGTCAGAATGGCTGCTACCCTTGTCTTCTCTTAAAGTCCACACTCCCAGACTGTGGAGACCGCGAAGGGCCAAAGTCCAGGGAAAGGGCTAATGTAAGCTGCTTGAAGGTGAGAGTAGAAAGCAGACAAAGAAAGCAGGGAACTGGTGACCACAGGGTGGATGTGGGTGATGGGGGACAAGGCACCTCAAGGCTGCATCATTAAGGGGTAGTTTTCAAAGGTGGCCTGGGTTTTCTGGTCTTGGCTGAAGACCACAGTGGGAACAGTCCATAGCCAAGGGCTTTCCTAACCAGGCATGGCAGCCACGGGAAAATCTCGTGGACTATTTGGGAGAGTCAGAAGAATGAGTCTGAGGGCCTGCAGAGTTGGTCGTCAGCCCAAGGGGTGCTTTCCCTCTGGGTGGATCCGGGGCACCCGGGACAAGCATGCCAACATCTGTGCTGAGGCTAACGCCTTAGAACTGGATGATACCTCAGGCAGCAACTGGCCTTAGTCCCCTCTGTCAGGAGGGCAGCAGCTCACAGAGGGGGCAACTAGCTTTGTCCTCCAGCAGGAGAGCCTTGAGGAACCTGGCTTTGGATGCCCTGCCCAGAGCACTTCCTTCTGCCCCACTGCTGCCCCAGGGGGCTTCTGGAGACAGAAGGCACTTGGTGCTCACTTAAGAGCCCACTGCCCTGGGCCCTTAGACCCACAGATTAACCCTCTGGGGCCGCAGATGAGGATTCCTCGATAGGAAGGGTGTCAGGGGCTGTGAACAAGAATTGTGCGGCTACTGTAAAGCAGCACCTTCCCGAGAGGGCTGCTGTGAGCATCAGAGGAGCACAGCTCCTGGCTCACACAGGCATGCTCTGGTTGCAACTGTGGTTCCCTTGGAGGAGGAGACAGAAGGCCCAAGCAAGGAACAAGTGGAAGTGGAGAGGAGGGGCCGGGTCTGGGGCCTGCAAGCTCCCAAATCTGTGCTTTACATGGGCTGAGTCCCAGTAATGAGCAAGGGGTCGGGTGCCTGGCTGGGAAATGTAACAACAAATCAAGTGAATTCGAACCCGTGTGGCCCCAAATTATCCCAGTGAGCACCCCAGGGGACAGAAATCTAGCTCATCTTCACCCAAACGGTGTCAGTGGAAGCGCCAGGGGAGGGACCATCACATTAGGGACCTGTCCAGTACCAGGACCAGCAGGGCCAAGGCACAGGCCTCCCTCCGTATTTGTACTGGACGCTCCAACCAACGGAACCACACCAGCCTCCCTCTGTATTGAAGTTTCTCCCCAAAGCCCTGGGATATCCGCGGCAGCCTGGCGTTCCCACCCCTCGCCTTCCGGCTCCTCACCCTCTGTCTGAGTCTCTCGATCCACGAAGGGGACGCAGCCCCGCGTGGAGACCTCGTGTGCTCCGTTGGCGGCGCGCTGGATGTCCAGGGTGCCCTCGGGGCGGCTGGGGCTGAACACGGCGGTGTGCACCTCCACAGTCGGGCTGTGCGGCGCGAAGGCGCTGCCGAGCAGGGTCTCCATGCGGCGACGCGCCTCGGCCTCCTCCTGGCCCCGCGGCAGCACCACGATCCCCACCAGCGCGGCGGGCGGGCT